ATCCACAAATACAAAATCGATAATATCACAAACTGCAGAAGTATCGTACAATCGATGCGATTTAAATGGATTGTTAACAGAGAGCTAACGATGGTATTAACCTGAAAGCCCATCATGCAACAAACTGATGACCAAATCCAATCGGTTCAATTCCAGGCTATTGAACTGAAGCCCACTATTGAGTGAAGACCTCGCTCGTAAAATGTAAATTCCTAAACTCCCACAAAAAAATCCAATCCAGACCTTCGTCAATACCTTTTTATTTTAATGGTTCAGTTTGCGGTTTCCTGACAATTTTATCCGAGAATAAGAGAATATAATAATTTTTCTGACAAAAACCAGGAAGTTCAAATAATTATAATCCTAAACAAAAAAAGCTCTATTCATTTACAAATTTATTTTCACTACTAAATCACATAAGTGTAGTGTCAAATTGAGAATAAATTAGTTGTCTGTCGTGCACAGACCAACTTTCATGTAGGTAATTAAAGCTTCAGGGTTGGAGCATCCACTCTCTGTCGCCCCATTGTATTACCAGAATTCATTATGACGCCATTGAATAAATGAATTTAGCGGAATCGGAATATCATTCGGCGTTTGCGATATTAGTATACGTTCGGTTAATCGAACGTATGAATAAGTAAGAGCTTAAATGGATTTTCCTAATAATGATTTAATCGACGTTGAATTAATCGCTCGACGTTTCAGCAGCTTTGAAGCTACCCGAGCGACCGTATTGAATTTTGTACCGTTGTAAAAGTAAACAAAAACGGTGTTTTAGGGATTACAAATTACCTATTCATGACGTTAAAATAGGAAAACAAAATGCATTATTAACTAACCTATCGGATTAAATTCAATTTCCGATTTCCATACAAGGACGCAATGTAAAAGATTTCGAGCAAAAATTTTACGGAATTTGATACAATATTTAATCGAATTTCGGTTTGTTTACTGGATTTTCCACCTACTTCCATCGGTTCCTTGAACCCTTTCATGTCGCGCGCAATTTGCATGAATATTTTAATTGCTCGGGTAATATAATAAAATGGAAATGACTTTCAAATTAAATAGGCTCCGAATCGACTTTCTCTTCTCCCTATTATTAAAATTCGAACCCGAAACGATCGTGTGTGGTTATCCCTAATGCGTGGAAGTTTTGTGTATAAGAGACTGGGAGGAATTTCCATAATAAATCAAGCTTATATAAGTAAGCCGACAGAGCTGCAATAAAAGTGTTGCCTTGATGAAAAGATCGATTATGATTTACATATTTGTATGTAGAACAAAGGAATGAAATCTGATAAGAGATTAGCTGTTATTTAGTGCTTTGCATAATCTTCGAAGCGAATCGAAAGAGTAATTTTAAAATATTTTTAAATATTCTATTAGACTCTAAGCGAATTAAACAGACGTTTTTACACAAAGAGGAAAATCTCCTAATAGTTTTCTCGCCTCGTTTAATCGCCGTTTTATTTAAACAGCACGGCTTACTGCTTAGCATATCTGTTACTTCTTTTTTTCTGTAATAGTAAGGGAATTTTTTCCGAATCGCGTTAAATTAGAATATTCTGCGAGTTCTTTTGTCTGCTAGATAAAGCAGCCAATTGGGGAAAACGATTTTCCCTTTTTCTCCCTATGTACCCGGCGTTTTTCTTCCCCAGAACTGCTTGTTTTACAAGTGAAAACAGCTAACTTTAAGTCGAGGCTTTTGTGTGAATTTTTTCATTCGAACGCCCGAGAAACGGCGCACAAATACACCTTCTTTTTTATTTAGGCCGAGTGGAGTAACTAATCAGGAATCACGAAAAATTCGCCAATCCAACAAAAGGGAATATTTAATTCGGTAAACGTTTCCGAGACCACTTTCTCTTCGCCCGCTTTTTAATTAATGAAGCCCATTTTTTGCGCCTACGGTAGCTAGTACAATGCGGCTTTCGTCTACCCGCCTACCCCCGTTCCGGTTATTCGTTGTGTAATTTCCAGACCGCACACGAAAACGCCCGTCGAATCGGAATTTTTTCTTCGGAAATAAATAGCTCGCTCTCGGTATTCCGTCCGTCGTTTCCCTGCGAAACTCCAATCTCCCCGCATTCCCGTCCTTTCCCCCCTAAATTACACTAATTGCGACCATCTTTTATTCCTGAGTTACTCCTTTAATCCGAATGGATTCGATGCCGGCTCCTCCGCGGATATATTCTCCCGGAATCTCGCCTATCTACACAGTGACCCACATTTCGGCTGATCTCCTATCAAATATCTTTCACCAAGGACCCCTTTTGTATTAAATACTGCTGGTAACATTGTTGAATGTAACTCGAATATGGCTGGTAGCATCTTCAGCTCACTTTCAATACTGACGATAGACTTCACCCTACAATAATTTTTGAAATTAGCTCTAATGCTCCACCCTTTATAAAAAATATTCTCTTCTTAGTGTTTGGGTTCGTGTTCGTATTCAATTAAGCATCTGCCTAAGCAAAATTGCATTTACAAGAAGTTCCCTTCTCCTGAAATTTTCGATCGCCCCGGAAAATCGATTCCAGTTGTCGATATTTTTAGAATTACTTAGTAGCTTATCGGAGTTGAACGCACGCCAAGTAGGTACTCCCGGAAATCCGGCCTGTTAACTCGCAGGCGGGAATCCAAGAAAATTGAAAACACCCGGAAATCGCGTATGTTAAATTAAGTTTTTCATCAGCGTTGACGGCCGGAAACCGACTGGGCGGAATTGGTGTCGAAAAGCAACTGCCTGGAGTCCCGCTAAAAACCGACCTTATTGTACGTCGAGTCGGTTTGTGAGGCAGGAAAAATCGATAGCTGTCTATTTACGAGGAAAATTGAAAATCACACACAATACACGGATATATCACGAAAGTGACGTTCTATATTAAGTAATCCAGATACATCCAGATTATATTTTATGTTCACTTTATGAATTTCACGTCAACTTTCGCGTTTATTTATTTATTTTTTCGCAAAAATAAAAAATCCGAATATGTCGCAATGGAATTAGCATACCTATAGATACGCGGACAAAAAGCGGGAAGCGACCGGCAAAAAGGAGAACAGAAGGGCACGAATGCATCGGCTTTTGTTTGCGCAACATGTCACCAAGATGAATGGGACCTCTGGATAGCATACCAGGCAAATATTTGCAAAAAACGCCACTGCCAAGAACCAAAACATACCAATAATATAATGAAACACGAAAGAAGCTGTTCGCTATGACGGATCGGGCCTTTAACATCGATCGACAGGGTCGGATTCAGTCACATATTGTACAAAATACCTCATAAATTTGTCCTGGATATAAAGCGCTCTAAAGCCTGCCAGAAAAAGTAATTGCCCAATTTTATAAGATCGACTCAAACCGAAAATGCTAATATTTAATTTAACAATCTCCTATTATACCTATATCCCGTAGTTTCGAGAATCAATGACGCACTGCGTGAAAATTAACGGCTTTATTACGCCGAGTAATCTCCAGCCGGAATGAAAATAAAATTTAAACGGATATATCCTCTACCGGGCCTCTTTCCCCAGATACAAATGACAGCTATAACAATTTCGCCCTCTTTCCCTGCGCCGTGGAAAGCTCATTTTCCGGATATAATGGAAATTGAGATACGTAAGATAATGGCGGAGCAAGCATGCTTCCAATATGGAATTGACAGTCATCAGTGAGGTAGGTGTATTCGACCTTTCCTCAGCAGGTAGGCCGTATGACGCGCGTTGAATATTATCCAGGGAGTAGATACGGTAAAAAAATTATGTAATCAATTTAATGAGGAACAAAATATTATGTATACCTGTGGGTAGTTGTATTTTGTAGTCGTAAATGGAATAAATCAATATTTCGTGTACTTATTAGGTATAGTAATATTTTAGGGATAGTGGAATTTATCACTGTAGCATAAATTTAGTTATGAATAATTTAAAGTCCATGATTACTTTTTGGATAGCAATTTTTTCCACCTTCAAATGGTGCATAGATAAATTTCTATTTCAATAGTCTGTACAATTCTATCTATTCTTCTAACTTAATAAATAATTATCTAACAGATAATACATTTATCTAAATATTGATAAAATTCTCCCTTAAAAGATATTAATGGATATATTTTCGAAGGGGCACGTCACTGTGGTCGTGCCAATATGGCATCGACTGTGGTATTATGGCAAAAGGTTCACTTCATTAACACCTCGCTTTTTTTTCGACCCTTGACACGAGAAAGTCCCTTTTTACAGGGAGTTCACACGTACTTTCGGCGTGAGCCGCTTTTATGACTGCGTTTAGGGCAAATTAATGATCGAGTCCTTGAATGGATTGCGCCAAGGGGACGCGGGATATGACGAGGAGCCGGGGGGACCGGGGCGATTCCTGACGACTTTTCGCATGACTACACGCCGGGGCCCGTTATCTTAAGCGGCCTCCGCAAAGGTCCCGAGATTATTTTCAGCCATTTGCATATTTTGCACTTAACATCAATCAATTACGAGCGGGATTTTATCGTGATTTCATGTCAGAGTTACCTCATTATTATGGATGCAAATTTTTTTTTGCAAGTTGTAAATTTGTTTATTTTATACTATAAATTATTTTTATTATTTTAATATATGTAAAAGTATTTTTTATGATTTCAACGTGTTATTTAGTGTAAAGTTGATATGATTTTGAATTGACACTTTTTTTCAATAAATGAGTTCAAATTTATTTCACCATAAATATTAAAATTTTTGACTATCTATTTACCTTAAATTAGTTGTTAAAAATAGAGTAAATGCACCTACTTATTATTATCAATTGAAGTGAACGATATTGACATAATTATTTTGAAAAAATATTCTTATACTTACACTACTAATTAATTTATAAAAAAAGTATTTAAATAATTTCCTACCTTTCACAAATTACATATTTTAAATTCCATTTAAATCGCCGGAATTAAAAAAAAAATAAAACGAAACCTTAACCTATACAATTACTGAAAACTTACCCAATTCCATTTTCACCCCCATTTTCGGAACCGTCGCGGCGCGAAATCCAAAACCCCCGATCGCCCGACGTCCCTCGAAATTTGTCAACAACCAATCGATTCGCTACGTACGATTAGAATTCACCGTGATATCGAGTGCCGCCCGTCGGGGATGCCGTCCACCTGTTCCCCCAGGTGGGTTGTGTGCCGCAAAGCGAGAGTTCGCCGGCGACGCCCTGCCTAACGTTTCCAGCGCGTTTGATAGAAGCGTCGAGACGTACAACGACGTCGACGTCGGTCCTATCGCCCCTGAACCCTCGCCGCCCCCGACGCCCTCGCGCTCGCCGTATTTGCGCACCCTCAGGATATACGTATATGGGGTTGCCCGAGGACGGCAGTCAATTCGACATGCGGCCGTCCCTTCGTAGGGATGGTTATGGTTTTTATGAATGAATTGGGTGATATAATTCAATAGAATTTTATTCTTTCACCTACTCTCTGTTAATAATAACAGATCAAATTATAGTTCGGGATTGGCGGTACTTACTAATGGTGCATTTGTGCTGATATAATCAACTTTAATATAAAATAACTTGATTTTTGATGATCTTTTAAGGAATTTTGTGAAGGTATTTAATTTCAATTGATGTGACTTTTCAAGTCTATACCTATAGATGGTAATCATATATTTTTTATTTAACTAATATTTTAATGATTTTTGAAAGTTCTAAACTGTACCAAAATTCCCCACTTAGTTGAAACAAAGGTAAATTGATTTTACAGTTCGTTATGAACCCCATGCATTTACGGTCCCCAGTACACCAAGTACTCGCGTAAGCGTCGCGACGCGTCGACCCTGTTTGATGGGCGATTAAAATCGCTTTTATGAGACCGGGGCGATTATTATTCCGCGGTTAAATAGTGTGTTTTGTCGCCTGATTTTATTGGGCCGCCGTTAAATTTTATCTGGCGCGGAAGGTCTTTACGGCTTCCGAGGTTTCATTACGGCTAATAAGACTTAATTTCGGCTGCCGGTCGAACGACCCCCGTTCGATATCGATTGTAATTGATAATTCGAGAGAGTCGGCCGGTGATAAGCGAACGTATTGCGGAAGTTTTCCTGCGGAAGAGCATCCGCTGCAGGAAATGCGGTCTCGGCGTTGCAACCAGAATCGCGTATAGGTAGGGGGTTTTTGTGGCGAGAAAAAGCGTCTTCGGGAAAATTCCTTTCGAAAATATATCTATTATGTGTAATAGTCGGCGAGATAAATGGATGTCTCGAACGTTTAACACGTCATACGTAATGCTGGAATTCGCTTTATAGGCTCATAAATTCTCCGAATGCGATAGATTCCGGCACGAACGTTGTTTTATGCAATTTCGCTTCGCACTTGTGATTCCAGCACTTGAACCGGAGAGTGAAGTCGATTGATTTACATTTGCATGAATAGCGATTGCGTCCTAAGCATAATTTCCACGACTGTTATCAACATTTTTTCAATTAAACTCGAAACTTGTACTTCGAGTCCTTCGTTGCAAAGGAAAAAAAACCGTTTAAATCAACATCAATCAGTCGAGAGTTGTCGTAAACAGGAAGTTTCTTCGGCAAACTTACGGGTTTTTATTGATATAATAAAGCGGAATTTTCGTCAACGATGGGAAATTGCCAACAACTTTCAATATTAAGGGAAGGTTTGATTTCTGTAAAATGTTTGATGAAGGAAATTGCACTCACCTGATGGCTATCTTCTTAAAAAATTGGCTATGTATTGGATAGAACCGCACAACGCCTGTAACAAAACAAAATTCATCATATTTTTTGCAATTTTTGGAGTAACATTATTTTGAATTTCAAAAATTAAATAAAACCGCAACAATCGCAAAATGTTTTCTAACTCGACATTGCCCATTTATGATACAAAATAAATGTTTAAAATGATGTCACTAAAACAATACCCTTTTGTTTCCTATTCAATAAATATACAATATAATATGCATTATAAAATCACCAATTTAGCATTGTTCAATCGAATTATTCACCAATTAAACTCTATTCTAAATAATTTTGCAACAATTATGCGCTTCTTCGTCTTGAAATAAATTCGATTTTATAGGAATTTTCTGCTAAAAGAGAAGTGCAGTAAACGAAGTAATGCAAAAATCGAATTAATTAAAATATGAAAAGATACAATTACTGCATAATTTTTAATATGATTGTTTATTTAATTATTTTTACTTAGTAAAAAGGTTTATTTTAAGCTCACTTTCTAGTGTTATAACGCAAGCACATACTTTCAGAATGATATTTTCGTATAGCACATAAATAGCGTATCATTCCATAATATTATTAGCTATTTTAGAGAAAGTGAGCAATAAATCCGAATAAAAGATTTCGCATTAAATCCGAACATTGCGACCGATAGTTTAGCATAAATTTCAAACCGACCCTTGGCCATAACTCAAATAGCACGTGTTAGTAATAAAATCGCAATGCTGGTCTCACGAAGATAACGCAATTATTGTGACATGTCTTAACGGGTTATATCCTTTAATTAAATTTATCGCGAAATGGCTTTTTAATTAGCACCATTCTAGAAATTGTTGTTAGGATATCTTGAACTTGCCAGGTATACTTACTGAAATTTACAACAATTCACAACAATTCGGAAAGAATTAGTAGAGTCCAGAACAATTTAGAATGCTTCAGGATCAGTAAGATCCCCGAAGACTTCAGAATGAATTAGAAAAGTTTAGAGGAATTTTATTTAGCATGCTTCACGACGAATTAGAAAAGCTTAGAATGCTTCAAGATTAGTTAGAACAGTCTAGAACAATTTAGAATACTTCAGCATGAATTAGAATAGTTCACAGAACAATTTAAAAGGCTTCAGGATGACTTAGAAAAGTTCAAAACAATTTAAAACGGTTTAGAATTAATTAGAAAGTTCAGAATAATATAGAGCGATTCAGAATTATTATAAGAACAATTTAGAATGTTTCAACTTAAAATGAATTAGAAGAACAAGAGTTAGAACGCTTAAGGATTCTTTAGAACGGTCTAAAATTGAAAGAGCAAAAACTACACTATCATAAATATGTCAATGGAAAGATCCGCAAACAAAATTCGCTTCATCGCGTTCGTATATCGCACCAACACCGCTCCCTTGTGTATTAGATTAGGGCAGTGAAAACCCAACATAATTGCGAATAGAATTTTACAATGTGCATACAGCGACTCGCGGCCCATTTTCGTCACCTCCTTTCCGTCGCCGACCTCCGGCAATAATCCCCGAAGGCCTCGGAAATAATAAAGACGTCCTCCATTCCGGTCGACGTCGCCGGGCGAGCGAAAGGCGGCCGAAATGTTCTCCTGGTCCCGCTTTTCTCCTAACGACCCATATCGGCTAGTTAATATTTGAGAAAAGCTCTCTAATGTCGCCTAATTTAACGGCCCGACGTTTCGGATGTTTATGTCATCGTTAATGCGCCCGCCTTATGCCTTCTGTTGCCCGTTTTCTTCGCGCGTTTATTTCGGCTAAGGAAATTTACGTCTCTAATCTTTAATAATTGCGTAGGGTGGAATTATCGAATTAAATGCGTTAAATAAACAGTCTTTGTACTTAAATAGACAGAGCGACTCCTCTAAATGAAAATTATCAAAAAATGTTCAAAATAAATTAAAACGCCTCAGGATAAATTAGAACACTTTAAAACAATTAAGAAAGCTTCAGAATTAATTCCAACAGTTTAGAATAATTTAGGAAGCTTCAGGATAAATTTGAATAGTTGAGAACAATTAAGAAAGCTTCAAAATGAATATGTACAGTTCAGAACAATTTAGAAAGCTCCTGGATGAAACGAACAGTTTAGAACAAGTTTAGAAAGCTTCAACTAGATGAATTAGAACAGTTTAAAACAATAAAGAAAGCTCCTGAATGAATTCGTACAGTTCAAAACTATTTAAAAAGCTCCAGGTTAAATTAGAATAGTTGAGAACAATAAGAAAGCTTCAGAACGAATTCGTACAATTCAGAACAATTTAGAATACTCCCGAATGAATTAGAACAATTTAAAATGCTTCATGGTGGATTAGAATAGTTCAGAATAATTAAGAACTCAATTAACAATTCAGAATCAATTAGAACAATTCGAATTAATTTAAAAAGCTTAACAAAGGTGTAAATTTTAGTTATCCACACTAACATATCTGTGAAATCAGTTATACTCACAAAATATATTGAAAATGTTGTCGAAAACTCGACATGGAAATTCATCAAAAATCCTTAAAAAATCATCATCAAAGCGCATTATAATGAAGCAGGACTTTGTCAAGTATAATGCGATATAATTCAAGGCGAAACTAGTTTCGAACAGTCATATTCACCGTGTGAGTGCCGAAAACTTGTGAAAATATACGGACACAATCAAAGTTTGAGAACGACACGAAAACCACATCCCGCACGATTATTCTCAAATTGTAAGTTAGTGCCTTTCCGGCGCGGATACCAGTAGCAACTCGTTCAAAAAATTGATATACGCAAACAAATCTCTTGTAAAAAATCGAAATTAATATCTATGTATTTAGGAAAACTTCAATTCAAATTGGAACTCTTTACATAGACACAAATCGATATTCAAGTACAAAAGGTATAAGTTATAGAAATACTGTAAGAAGCCTGAAAAAGTATATGAAAAAAGCAAAATTACGAGCTTATGCTACTGTTTCTGAAAACAAATTGAATATATAATAAAAAAAAGACTTGATCCGCCTCTGAAACCTCGACCGACATCTTCTCATTTCAAGCCCGAAATCTCGAGGCGTTTTTTCAGGGGTTTTATTGGACCGCCGACAACAGTTCCTTGTAAGGAACAGACAAATAAAAATTTCAATAAAACTCGCCTATCGATTTACCATATGTTTTCTTAGCACTTAATGGAATATGGAACGATTGCTATTTGCTAAGCAAATACGAGGGGTTCGACGACGGGATGCCAATAGACATCGAGACAGATTAGAGTGCTGGCTTGCGATATTTTTCAGGAAATTCGAGAAGATCAATGTTTGCTTAAATTTTTCTTGACAGTAACAAAAGCACATATTGGTAAACAATACAGATATTGTAAGAAATAGCAAACAGTAATAACTATATCTCAGCACAAAAATAAGACCTAACCCTATAAAAGTATAAAAAATTTAGTAGCATATAATATCTATTTATTTACTAAATTATTTTTTTAAATATAAGTTTTTATTTTTCTGCGTGTATACGGTTATATCCGGCGAGAGCTTTGGTATGCAGAGCAGGAACATCGCAGGATGTATTAGTGAATTTCGTCCTGAATTATCGAACTGGCTTTACTTATGCCGAAGAAGTTTCCAGACTTTTGATTACTTTTCTAAATTGTAGCTTTTTATCCACTTCCGGGAAATATGAGAAAACGCCGGAGGAGCGGAACTTTCGCCGAAATTTGAATGTTTGACCTCGAATAAAAGTCGAGCGGGCGAACCGAAGGAAAGTTTCGCGCGAAAATCGGAATTTTCGATCTGGAAACTCCGATTCGAGCCGAGGGAATTTTCTTTTAATTTTCTTTTATGATACCGTTGAAATGTTGAAAGAAGTATAATAATTAATGTGAAAATAATCAAGCCAGCCATTATAGAAAATATACCTGGAAAATATTTATTTATTATTCGAATATAGAGGCAATTCCAAGTCTAAAAAAAGCAAATTATTTATCTAAGGGACTCAAGCCTCAACCAGATATTCAAGTCTAAACTAGAGAGTCTTGTCTCAACCAGAGATTCAAGTCTCAACTAAAGATTCAAGTCTCCAGAGATTCAATTCTCAACCACAGAGATTAAAAAGTCTCAATAACCAAAGATTCAAGTCTCAATAGCCAATGATTTAAGTCTCAACTTGAGATTCATGTCTCAACCAGATATTCAATTCTAAACCAGATATTCGAAGTCTCAACCAGAGAAAGTCTCAACCAGATATTCAAGTCTTAACCAGAGATTCAAGTCTTAACCGAAGCTTCAATTTTTCCCCTAAAAACGTCAATTATCTATTTTAGAGATACTTGTCTAGGGTGTCAATTATCCACCTAAATTAGTGCTTTGTGAGCGCACAAAATCAACGCATCGCATAAAAAATTCCCAAAAAGCAACAGCATGCTCGAATCTCTGCATCGACTCTATTATACGCGAACGCGTACGCCGATAAATCGACCCGAAAGGCGCAAAACGGCTTGCTTTTTTTTATCGCGTAACTTCCATTATTTCCACCTTTTGTTGACGAAATTATTCGGCATTCGATGAGCTCGATTCGGGAAATTCAAGAACAACAGAACGGTATCGTAAAATCGACAAACAAGGGACCGTGTTTTTGTGGCTCGCTCGAAAATGGAAAAAACGCTCTGTAAAAAATTTCGACCGGCGGGAATCGTGACAAGGGAAATTCGAAATTGGAAATTTCCTCCAGGTAAACATAAGGTTGTTGTTGGTTGATTATTTTTTGGGATCAAATCAATTTATTAGATTTGGAAGATTTATTAGATTGTTTTAAAATTTGTTAGACGTGGCAAGGTTGGAGTGTTTATAAATATCTGCGTCATTTTTAGAGCCTATACTTAACCCCTTTTACTTTTACCGCCCGGGTTAAAAACGTCCCGTGCGAATATCCTCTCCCGATAGCATCTCCTTTTGCTAGTGACAGATACTATCCCGCTTTTAGTAGTGTTGTTGGAAAGCGGGAGCAGCACTTCAGGACGTGTTGTTCCCCGGAAAAGAGCTTACAAAGATGCCGGTAGCGACAACATGTGTCGACGCGGAGATAACGAACCATATGGTCGGGTGCAGGGGCGAAGCGCGAATTTTCGCGGCTCCAGCTTTTTTTCGGGGGTAGTTTCGAGAACGGGCCAATTAGCGGCGGGCAATTAGTCGCCCGCCGAGGAGCAACTCAAGCAAAACAACAACAAACAATACGCGGAATGCAAACACGGGCGGGGGCCTTTCCGCCCTCTACCCGAAGGAATTAATTCCCTCGGCGTACAATCTATAAACTAATTAGCAACCCTTGTTCAGGATGCTCTTGCGGTTTGTCCATTAAGACGCCGAAGAAAATTTACGTCCACCTTTTTTTTTGTTTAATCCAATTCCGTTTACGAACAACCCTTATGCAATGATAATAACTCTTCAATAGGGGTAGTTTGGTAAATTACAAATAGCTCAAGAAGTTTATAACTAATTTTAAACATTTTTGAATAGGAAGCATTATCGACAGATTATGTATATCCGAAAAAAGGTTGAAAAATTTTTTAAAGATGTTTAAATTTTGAGAATTTAAGTGCAATTAATCAATAGTAATCAATGATTTATTACTTTTCTACAAAGTACACTGTTATTAACATTATGCATTAATACATTACCCTATTAATTCTTCCCTATTAGTAAAACATTATACCATAATCACAGCTTATATGAGGGCGGGACGCGATAAAGGGGCGCCATGGGCAATCGGCTGTGAGTGCAGTAGATTAGTCCCGACCAGTCTTCGACGTATTCGGCCCATTCGTGGGGCGGCTTCGACGTGCTGATGAGCAGCGGGCATTCCTCCATGAATTCCTCCAACGGTTCCGGGTCGAACTGATCGAAATTCGTCCGCACCGGGAACTGGTAGCACTTTCTCCAAGGCATCGGCATCTTATCGACATCTGGCAAAATCGTTCTCGCAATTACTGTGTATTCTTGCGATATTCAACCGTTGATTCGATGAGGAAATGTACGTCATAGGTAGTGTTCGAACGTACTATAGTCACGTTTTGGGTAACTTACTGTTGATGTTCGGAAAGTCCGGTCCAGACGCGGCGTTTTTGCCCTTTTTGCCCAATTTTTCCTCTTTTTTCAAGCAAGATTTTAATTTTTTCATGTTGGAATAGTTGCCGGAGGATGCCACGTTCTTGGAGGGAAGGATTACCAACGGGAAAGCGTTGAGCATTTCTACGATGCTTTTGCACCTACTGGGTGGTTTGTGTGTTTGCGACGCTGGCGACATTTTATGCTTTAATTTATTGTTGCTTTTATGCGGCTGGAATTCTGCAAACGTAAAACACGGAAAATTCAATTCGTTGACCGGCATTAAGGCGTTTTACGAACTTAATTTATAATTCAACTCCGCTTTTAAATCTACCTGGGTAGAAATTTGAGGCTAACAAGTATCTAATTGCGTATGCCGGAGAATATCTACATTAATTCTTAATGTTTGTATTAAAATCGCATTACTACTAGGTATATTCGCTTTTAATGTGCGTACTTACGTTATACGTTTATTTGTTTATTCCTATGATTAATGGTTAGGGAAAAATGAAAATTTAATGTATTCACGCATAATTTTGACACTGTGACAAAATCGTTACGTCGACATTTAAGCGAATAATTCATTACTAATCAATTTAGAATTTAATTTCCTGTCCAACGGTGAAATTTAGCGTTAGTTTTTCCCATCTGTTTTCATCAATTTCATCCCACAGAATCGCTAGAAGCAATTACGAAACCTATCAATGAAAAGCCACTAAAATCGTTAGAAAAAATGGTATCCGATTAGTAATAATCAATTTATTTAAATTGCACTCACGTTACGATTAAATCAGGTAAAACAAATATTGAAACATTCATAAATTCGACCAATTTTAATAAACTATGGCAAGTTATATTTTTAGAAACTTGATATTTATAAATTGAAAATAAGCTCTTATTGATACACTTATTCTGAATGAGCCCCTGTACACTCGGGGTGGTTTCGTGACGTCAAGCATCGATTTTTTAGTCCTAGTAGTAGTTGTGAAAAGCGACGAAAACGCGAATGGAAAATTAGGTCAGATATTAGGAAAAATACTAGCAGATTTTATTTTTTCTTAATCGGATTTCATTTTTTCATCGTTATGAAACGGTATTAGAATATTTGCAACATAACGGTAATATTAATTACAAATAGAGGAAATTACTCGTTCATTTATTGTTTTAATAATTTATTGATGCGATATCTAAAGAATAGAAAGGCGATATTTAATTGAAAATATCCAATAATAAATAGGTATAACTAGAATGAGCAAGTAGGTACAGACGGAAAGGAATAACTGTAGACGTAACCTGCGTGACTCGTAAATTACCATTTTTAAAATATGTGTCATAACTAGATACCATAAAATTTAAATTCTGAAAATCAATTATTATAAAAATAGTAAGGGTTCATTTCTCCCTTTAATATTTCTTTCAAATTACTGTTTTCTGCCTCTAGAATACAATGCATAAATTGTAGTGTACAGTGAAGTAAGAGAAAGAAAAACGGTAATTTAGGAAATAGCGGGAATACGAAGCAACTAGCGACATCTACACAAGAGTTTAGACACCAACACAATTTTCCTCTACTTCTCATATAACTCTCAACTGGAAAATCGATCTGTAAAGCAGTTGCAAGTTTCCTCACCAAGGTAGCGCAAGCGACAGTTTCTCTCAGTTTTATGTATGTTCTGTGGTTTCTCTTGTGATTCTCCCCACTTGAATTTTCGTCAAAAACCATTATATTCAATTAGCAAATATACTGTTCAACAATATAAATTAGCAGTGCATTTAAAGTAATTGCACAAAAAATATTTTGTTCCATTTTTAGAATTCTTTCGCAACAAGTATCGGATCACTTTCATGTAATTGATGCAATCGAGATTTCTTGCTAGAATTTACGAGAAAATTATGTTTATATAATAATGCAGAACGTTTCTCTTATACTACATATTTAAGTAGATACGCGATAGAATAATTCTACGAATGAAATTTCTACTACGAATTTTAAAATATGTCAATATGTCGCATTAACCTTTTCTAAAAATTTTCATATAAAAGTTAAATATTGAAATAACTTTTAACTTTAATTTCAATTCAACAGTTGATTATTTCAATACAACTTTTAATATGGGAATAACAGGATATCAGCGACATCTACACGCCCACGAGCAATTTTCTTCCACTATACAAACTTCTCCAGCGGAAAATCCATAAGGAGTTGCAGAGTTTCTTACCTAGGTAGCGCAAGCGACACTTTCCCGGGATTTTCCGCGCATTTTTAAATAAACTCGCAAAATTACAACCTAATTTATTACTTAATCTAATAATATCAATACATATCTTCACGTCGGGTTACAGAAACCTTTATCGAGCTCCTTAATTTTATAAAACAAATACTTGTAGAAATACTTTTTCACGTCTTTGGCCATCAGAAAATCAATGTGGTTCCATTTTTCGAAGGGCACCACGTGGTAACCGCATCTCACAGAGGGATGCAATTGCGAGTACGTGTGGTTAGTACTCTGAAAAATGCAATATGGCTATTTAACCAGCCGATTTCAATTCATATACTAACTTACAGCTAGCGTAATTAACCAATCGTTTTTCCCAGATATCATAGCTACAGGTACTTGGTTTTTCGATAAATCGTACGCTGGTGGTTCCGTCGAGCCGTACACTTTCAAATTCGTCTCGTTACCGTAATCGAATTTCCTGAATAGCCCCGTATCGTAGACTTGCACGTAATGAGAGTATGTATCGACTGCGATTATGTCCAATAAGTGGGTACTGACTAGAGGAAATATGGACTAAAATATAGTTTAAAACTGTTGTAAAAAAACTGTTGTAAAACTGTTGTAAAAATATTGTAGAGTAATTTCTTTATCAATAATGTGGAACAAAACTTCCAAGAGAAGTAATAAAAACACCATTAGATATTCACATAATCCTGAAGATGCGAATAATAGATGCGAATATAATGCGAAACTGTAAATTTAATTATTGAGTTTTTATTACTACTATTGGTTACTTAGTGTGATTTATGATATTTATGAGAGAGTTTTTATTTTAACTTACTGCATCGATTTGTTCGTAATTATCGCCAAATACCAAATTAAAAAAGTATTGTGCAGTGTAAATTCCTCCAGTAAACCTTAAAAGAGGTTTCAAAAGTACTGAATAACCTGGTAACACTTCACCACTCCATAAATTGTAAATAATTTTCTGTAGTGAAAAAAAAATTTTTTGGGATTGGAGTTTTTTTTATAGTAAATTCGTATGCTTACTCTGAACATAGGCCACCAAAATGAAGTGTAAGTGGTGAGGGATGTGGTTTCTTTGAAATTAGTCGCGGAAGATACGCCTATCATGGCTTTTACGCTATTTTTAGCTTCTTCTGGGAAGGAAGAAGAGTAGATGAAAAATCCGGTGGTGCCCATGGAATAGCCGATGTAAATAGGCTTTCTTTGGGTTTTTTCTTTTACCAATTTTATGGTAGATCTAACGTCATATATTCCTAGCTCGTTTAAACTAAAAAATAAACAAAAAAAGGTCGAATAGTTCAAAATTAAAACGGGGAACTTAAAATTGAAAGGTTAATCGCACTATATGTGCAAACTCACTTAAAATTCCAATATTTTTTGTCATTTGTATTTAAATTAACGTGCCCCTTGCTATACCATGACCCTCTGTAACTTAACATCCACACATCATATCCTAATTTACCCAACGAGTAAGCTAAAAAACAACAAAACTTAAAATAAAAATAAATAAATTAAAATAAATTATAATAAATTAAGAACAATAACACACCTAATGAGGCATTGTGCCTATATACCCACCCCATAGCATTCATGCCCATGCCATGTACGATAAGCAAAGGGGTTTTTTGGGTAATATTCGCATACGATCTTTCGACCAGTAATTTATATCCATCTTCGGTAATAATGTAATGTTCTTCTGCTGTGAAATCGGGCCAACTTCTTATTATTTCACTCTTAAAAATAAGGTCGTTAAAAAGGCTAAAAATCGTTTAGAAGTTGACTTGAAAATGTCACGTTTAGTATTTGAATTGATAAAAAACTCAATTAAAGTAAAAATTGACTTTACTCAAATTTGATTTACTGTCGATTTAGTGCAAATCAAATGAAAAAATCCCGAAATTCCCCATCATATTTTTGTTGTACATTGTATAAGATGTATAAGTGGACAAGTTTCAAAGTCAAGGTTTTCTTATATATTTTATTGCCAATTTCATCGCTAATTTGACTTGAATAAAAATTAAACATTTAATTTATTGATCATCAGGTAACGGAAATTTTTTAACAATTCGAATAATTAAATACGAACAGTTTAATTATAAATATTTATTTACAGAAGTCATTTTTAAAACGTCTGGATCCAATTTTCGACCGGTGATTTATTGATGCATTGAATCAAAAACTATAAATGAATTAATTTGGGTAATTTAAAAATAATATCAATAATTTTCCACAATGGTTGGTATTAGTAAAGTCAATTGTATAAAGGCTTTAAACAAAAAAAAAATCACAGCATATATCACTTTCTTTTAATCGATTTAGCTAAATCGAAATGTCTTGTTAGAATCAACGTCAATCAGGAGGAAACCCGTGCAGTTTACATGAATTTAATAGTCTCTTATCAACCAGGTGATTAAGTGCACGATACATTAAATTTTTACAACATAATTCAAAATAGGCATGTTAAATTGTATTTTTCCGCACTAGTTTAAAATATGAGAAAATAAGTATGTTACTAACAACAATTAGAGCAGCATTTATAAAATAATAAAAAAAATATTACTTACGATATTTTTATTACTAACTGGGCTTTCATGGCAATTTTTCCCGCTGAAATTCAACAAATTATAATCCTCCAATTTATCGCACACCCTGATGGCAACGATTAAAATAAAAGGCAAACAGCCCAAAATGTACAGCGTTTTCACGGCTTTGCCGGCCATAATCATCCGATGGTTATCTGCAACCGACTGAAAACTAAAGTAATTTCGTCGTGTGATAAGTACATTACTTACATCCTATGGCAGAGTGCTGGACTTACTTGTTTCGACGTCAATTAAATACACTGCACACTAGTCGCGACGTCGTGAGACGCTCGATACATTTTATTCCATTTTTACATTTTATTTGAGAATTTTTTAATGATATGATAATAATTGACCGATTCTCGTGTATAATTATGTATAATTATACAGGATTGTTACGAGTTTTGAATGGCGCCATCAGGTATATATTTTTTTAACTAGGATTTTTTAATTTTATAAAATATTTTACTAATCTAAAAAGTGAGTTATAACTCTATTTATAAGTTAATTATATAAGTAAGTTTTTAAGTTAAAAAAAAGTAAATTGAGAAATGTTTCTTCAAAATCTAATCTACAACAATTTATTTTTATAACATTGTAGGTATACACTGTGCTTCATTCCAGATCGCAACATAGCTTATATAGGCTATAGGTGCGATAGAGACAACTTCTATTAGACATTTATAAAGGAAAAAGAGTGACATTTATGTCATTGCAATTTTTCACTCTGCTGACAACTGTTATTTTATTAATCTTTCTTTGTTCAACTCATAGAAACGACCATGTTGCGGTCTGAATTGAAGCAATCGGTATATTTTTAGTTTAATAACCGAAATTTGAGATAAATATTATATCAAAATAGGACATTCGACACAATGATTTATCAAAAATCATTGTAGATTATAAGTCGTAATAAATAACGGAATGAGCACGAGTTTGAAAAATCATAAATGTTGTAATTTTTGCTGGTTCATGATAATATGGTGGTTGTTTAGTGAGTTTTTGAACAACACTGTACGAATTCTCATCGTCATTATTTTAATTAGTAAATAATTTATGGTTGCATATTAAAAATCAAAAGTTATATGTAAATTTAGATGTGTAGTATACATAAGTACTAGGTATTTAAATCTACGCTGTTAAAAACTGGAATATCTAGGTAATTATTTCAAACTTGTATACCTACATAAAAATGCATAAAAAATAGGAGTTAACTTAAAAAATTGCTATTACCTACTACTTATTGTTTTTTATAAATTGTAAGTTTTTGTAGGTACTAAATTTTTTACAAATTATTTATCAAGATGAAAACTTAAATTATTCCTAATTTTTTAACCCTTTAATTAATTGTATTTATTTCATTACTATAAAGGATTCATAAAATAAATATCTTTTTAAAATGAATTAAATAAGAAAAAAAGAAAATCTTATACACCAAATAATAAACGTAATTAACACGTAATAAACACCAAAATACCTGTACTCAAAATTTGAATAAACTTATTCAAAATTGTTAAGGCATTTCTTCGTAAAATCCCAATTAAAATATAATGAAAAGAAAATTAATTAAAAAACTAGGAAGTCCGTCATTACTTAATGTAAATTTCATTAGAAACTATAGCAATAGGAAAATGTTAACAAATCTATCACCTATTAGGTATACCCATTGTCAGCGGTACTACAGGAGGTACCACATCTAGTCTCGAAATTGACATGTTTTTAAACCTTGAACTTGTTCCATAGTTTAAAGAATACATTACAATTAATTATTGACGCAGAAAATCCGTAATTATTTTATATAATATGATCATTTTTCTTTATACGAAAATTCGGTGAATTGTATGTCACTGATATTAATTAATAAATTAGCATTCTAATCTGACGATTAACAGATGTGTTATTTTTATAACATTACGTGCAACAATGTTAAAATATATTCTTAAACTTTCCGTGTTTTTTTTACTATAATACTTACAATTCCGGTCTATTATTTAATTCGTTTGTTATAGATTATAAAATAATATTAAACAATTTAATTGACCATGATTCATTAAATAATCATAAATAATTATATTTATAACAATAAAAACCATTAAATCAATATGGAATTAATTGACAATTAATAGATAATAATTAACAGTAATGTGAACTAATTAATGATAAATCAATCAAAGGTACGTCAAAAGAAATTTTGAAAAATGCATAAAAATTATTTTCCCGTTATTAAAATCAGTTAGTAAAATAATTTGATAAGATTTAAGTAGCCAGATGGCATTCAAATTGTCGACTAATCAATAATTATAATTGAAGATGAAACTAGATTTACAGAAGGAGAACCAGTAAAGAAAAAAAATGGTCCTACTAGTAAATTATACGTATTAAGTTGCCTTACGTGAATGTGTATTGTATAAAAATTTTATAAAATTATGGCAATTAACCATTTAACTTAATCGTTTATTTAATTTTGACTAACGATGATGAAGATTAAGGCAAAAATACAGGGTGGAAATTACTTCACATCTTCCTCAATATCAAAATGGCAATGTTAATGTTATATTAGATAATTAAGAAATTATTTAAGATCAAAGACATTACAACTAATAATGTCTTTGAGATATTTCCATAGATTCAAGATTTTAGATATGACATTTATTTGGCTCACTCTATAGATTAATTCAGTCTTATTATACTTTAAGCGGTTGGTGAATGAGCAGTATAATTTTCAAAAATCCTTCAACCGAAAATATATGGCAAACTTAAAGATCCCCTAAACTTTTATTAAATAATACGAGGCCGTTCTCACGGCGGTTCCCCGCCCGCCCACCGACTCACACCAAGAGGCCCGTAACGGCCTCAAAGATATTGTTTCGAAAATTTCCCGGGGCCTTTTTTCCTCCCGTACGGGCGCCGACACTATGTAAATGTATTTTTTATGCGCGACGTCCTTTTCCGTTTCGACTTTTCCTTACCTGGAATAACTCCGAGGAAGAGGCACGTTTCCGCCCCGAAATTTGAATAACGCAATCAGGGACGTCTCGGCCTTAATGCGATCCTTGTCGAACGAAACGCGGCCGGAGCATGCTGAAAAGAAACGCCAAATTGGATTATCCTTTTTACTAATCATTTCTGATGATAAAATTCATTAATAAAGTAAACCTGAGTAGCTAAATTTGGTTTAACATCTTACGAGACTTTGGTGATTATGTATTAATAAAAGATCTTACAGATCATTTTTAGGTAGGCTGCTTAGTGGAGGAGATTTATTTTTTTTTCTTATTTTATCTGCCATAAAAGTCAGCCCTGGAGGGTCGGCCAGAATTTGAATAAATTGCGCAAGAGTTCAAGATGCGAGATGTGATTGTTGGCCGAAATAGAGAGTGCTGAAAAAAACATGAGGAAGGACCAAGCGGGGTCCCTATTCTCGTATTTTTCGAGTTTTGCAATATATCTTACTAACCTAGTTAAGTTTCGCTGTTGGAGAATGTTTTTTAAATAAATCCCATTGGACCTAAGCCTATACCTGCTCCTTTAAAAAAAGTCTATTTAAATACAGTCCGTTCGAACGTACTAGTCTACAGGAAGACCGATATAATTGAGAGTTTTTATCGGAAAAGTTGGCTATACTGTTGACATTTACTGAATAACAAATCATGGTTACCAACAAAACGTTTGACATTCATCGCCAACTTCACAAGAAAAGCGTAGTATAGGCAAATAAATTATATTTTTCATCATAACTCCGGTGGAATGTTATTGATATATGAAAGGCGCCGCTCTAACAGAATTTCCAATATTGCGGTGAATTATACTGGAAAAGAAACTCTTTGGAAATTTATCAAAGAGCACGAAGTCTTTGAGCATTCGAACACCTGATGCGCTCGTAAAATTGTACTGAACGTCAGTAGGAACAGAAAAGACAAGGAAAATTGAATGCGATTTTCGAATATATTTTTCCGTTCGGAAAATTTGCGAATAGTCGAAAAAACATGCCAATTTTACCACGAACGTAGGAATACCTAATTTATCAAAAATATTGCTAAAAATGTATTTGCTTATCATAAATAACAAATAAAACCAACGTACATGTACAATACACTCACGCTAAGTGGTTTTGAAAGAAATGAAATTGAATTTTATAACTCATCAACTCGGAGTAGTTGATTTATCGACCTTCCAGAAAGTTTCCAGAAACCGTTAAACGTGTAATTAGATTTAAAGACAACGCGAACTTGAGTTAGAGCAATCTAAGGGAAGCGTTAACAGGTTAAAGTTTTGGAAATAGTGACTGGAAATTGGCGATGTCATTAGAATGTGATGTCCGCCGGTGCATCGATAACAACTTTCGAAAGTTTCGCTGCTAGAGCTCGCGAATAAAATTGTTTTAAAGTTTTCACCCGTCGTCTTTTCTTATTCTCATCCCGGCTCCGGGATAATGACGGTCGATTTCGTTATTTATTTACCGCGCAGTGATTAAGGTTTCCGAATTAAATTCGACTCGGATTATTCCGGCGATGGAAATCAAACACAATGACGCGTATTTATACGGCTCCCGCGATAGCGCAGTCCTCGTAATGGCAATAAATAGGTAGCCATTATACTTAGAAATTATTCACGCGAATATTACCCTATGGTGGAGTTCCGATGATATATTCCAGTACCTTCCGAACTCGGGACTAATTTATTACTATCAGTTAACAACTTCGCGTAAAGATACTGGAAAATTCTCTACATATACAACAAGGAATACACGCTAAATCACCAATGACTAATAGGTAAAGTGTAAATTGTGTAAGTAAAAGTTATTGGACTATAGGAGGAAAATTAATTATCATAATAAGATGACTGATAATAATAATTGGTAATATTTGTAGACACCTACTATACTTCTTTACAACCAATCAATTAATATAATAGTAGATAACACAATGTTATAAACAAATAGTTTTAATGAAATTAGTCTCCTTGGATGCTAACACATTCCATTACTTATTCAAATTAGCTTTCGTTTTAATTACCTATGCGGTCTTTGGGTTAGCACAGAGCAGCTGAAATGAAACCTGCATTACTAGCGCCGGTCTAATCCTTAATATTTGTTGGCCATTGTGTTTGAACTGTGGGTTGAATCTGGATTGTATATCCCAATTTAGCCGACCGGCTATCCGCGGAAAAGTCCAAATATATCATCATTTATAATAATTCTCGCCTGCTTTGGTTAAGCTGCGTTTATAGGAAACCGGCCGTTTATCAAACGCTAATTAACACCATCCATTGTTACGTAACAGCGGAATAATTTTAGAGAATTGTAGCGTCTGCATTATGGGTCTTCCCAATTCGAAACAATTATTTTTCCTCGGCAAACCAAACGTAATCGGGCTGTTCTAAAGAAAGAACCGGAAAGACGACATAAAGGAAGATATCCTTAAATCCCCGCAACATAATCAAATTGCCCTTTTAATTAAGAGGTCAGATTTCAAAGGGAGATTTATGACCTAAAGTAGATCCGTATAGAGTGGGCTCCGGTGGAAAATTTCGTCGCTTTCCCAGTCCAAACGGAAATTAACTCATTTGTTTTGAGTTAGAGCATCGACTTCCGACTTTTACGGCCGAAAGAATTAAGAAAAATCTACCCGGAATGCAAATTACCTGGATTTCTTTGCGGCACGATTTGTAAATTCAATCCGTAGGTAATTCAAACTTCAAATGCATTATCACTGCAGTGCGTATAATTTTTCCGGAATTGGAAATTACTTCATCTCAGGATACTTTACTGCAAATCCAGCCGAAAGTTTTCACACCAATTTGGAGATACCGATTTTGCGTTCCAATTACCGAAGAGTGATAAAAGCCCTTATCTTTATCGAAATTCGCGACCCGAAATTCTCCTAACCACCGTAGAAATTATCGTTCTCCCTCAATCGATACGTTCCAAAACCGGAGCAAATCCAAGCAAATAATCGCATGAAAAATCCAAATTACCGAGCATGTGAGAGTATAAGTATAATGTAGATGGTATGGAAAGGGTGTAACCGCTGTCGGGAAATCCCCGGCCCGCGCCCCCTACATTCCCTCCAATTAGAGAACCTCTCCCGGAATTATCCCGGCGAGAGGACTGCGAACAAAGAAATTCCGGGCATTTCAATTCCGAGAATAAGCAGTATGTAGACGATATAGTGAGAGCGGCGGTGTCTAATCAACTTAACTAGAGACGCTCCTTTTGAGTTACGCGGCCGTTTCGGCTCCTGATAAGGGCGGTTTTCTGCGGTTGTTCGAACTTATCGCGGATTTCGCTTTCGGCTCGCAGACGCGGTCATAACCGTTAGAAAATACGGCGTTTCTCGCAGTTACATTTCGCATAACAAACAATAGATTTACTACACAAAAATTTCGCACGTATATGTACGCAATCCTTGTATCACTCTTATTTTATACATTTTCCGAAGGCGAAGCGCGGCAAAGGCGAAATTAGATTTTCTAATAAAAATCCCATTTCCTGAAAATTTCTACCACAAAGCGGCAATCAAGAAATCGAAATCATCTCGGTAATAATTTCACCGGCGTTTGCTCTTTCTAGCGTTATGAATGGGTTACAATATGTTGTCGCAAAAATAACGCGGACAAAAAAAGTGAAAAAAAAGAATATAAACCTCTTTACGGGGCTTATCTTCCGCCTTTTGGAACGCATCCAAACATTTCCAGGCTCGCCTTTATTCCCTACGTAACGTAAGGTACATCAATTTAATTTGATAAAAACGTTGTCTGCGGATTAAGCGATTTTACCTATAAATTGGGGATTTAAAAAATTTATTCAAGCGGAAATTTATCGAATAGCTTTAATCGAGGAGATTTTTGTTAGTGTTACGTATTTTAATGAGAGGATTCTGAGTTAACTGAATAGCTGAAAATATTAGACCGCAAATTAATAGATGAAAACATTTGCTATATCCAAACACTTTTGTCAGTCATTTCAAAGTTCATCAAAATTTGTAATAAGTACCAAAAAAATACAAAAATATGGAAATAAAATCATAACCACAAAACCGCAATAGCTCGATAAAAGTAAGCATTTAATGTAATTATTAACCTAATTATAAGTAAGACAAATTCACGTACGCATTAACAGAACATTCGGTTTGCGCGTTATCGAAAATAAATCGCTTTGATGCCACCGTTTATAAAAAAGAACGTGGTCTTGAAGCCCTACAGCAGCAGCAGCAGTAGCGAGAGCGAAGAGGACGAGGCCTTAGAGCAGGAGCCGATAATCTTCCGACCGCCGGTGGCGGAACAGCGACCAGTGACTTTGCGAACGCAAAACGTCCAGATCGATCTTAGCGACAAATCGGAGGCTTCTCCGTGCGGAAGCAGGGAAAATCTACCGCAAGATGCGCCCGGTTTATCGGCCATGAAAGACGCTTCCACGAACACGGACATAGACGTCGCTGTCGGTACTGACAATTGCGAAGGGAGGGACGATGAGAATTGTTGATTCGGAAATGTTACAAAAAAGTGCCTGTTGTGTTTGTGATATTATAAAATTCCTCGGGAACTGCTCAGTAAAGTAAACTTGAAAGTTGTATGTATTTTAGAAGTCGTCGAGGACTCTTATATCGAAGAAATACCGAAATGCCGAAGGAACTTTTAAGTTCGAAAAAGAGTGTCGCTCAACCGGACAATGGGGCAAAAATTATTATAGAAAGTATTTTACAGAAGCTGTCATCCAATCCAAAAACGCCTGTTCAAAGTTCAAAAAACGATAAAACCGATAAAAAACTAAACAATGATTTCAACCAGAAATCACCTTAATACAATGTAAAATCGTTGCGTGTACCTACAATAGAAATGTGATTATAACACAGTTGTTTTCTTCTATTAAATTTCACCAAATTAAAAAAAATTACAAATGAATAACAACTAATTTTCATTGTACCTCTACCTATTAAATTCATAATACTAGAATTATTATAGGACATGTCGAAACGGCCATGCGCATCGTCCTCTTCAAAGCCACCGGGAGACAGGAGGAAATTCATACTAGATCCGGTAAAAGTAGCACCATGGAGAGCTCTACCACCAGGCTATATAGAAACCAACGGTCCGTGCAAAGGCTTGGACAAACAGCAGGAAAGCGGGACTACAATCATTCCAACTAAATATAAAATAAAAGACCCTCCGCCGATTACTCCTTGGAAGGACGTCGTGGAGGCTAAGAAAGCAAAGTTCAGGCAATGCCAGAAGACAAATAAAAAAGAAGGTAGAATAATGACGCCGACTAAATATAGAATCAAAGAGCCGCCGCCGATAGTACCATGGAAAGACGTCGTGGAGACCAAGAAAGAGAAATTACGGCAGTGCAAAGGAAAAGATAAAGATATAACCAAAGACGGTAGAGTAATGACGCCTACTAAATACAGAAAACGTTGCGTACCTAAAACAGATACGCCGGTTATCCAATGCGATTGTAGTGAGCAGAAAAAGCCGATAATAGCTCCTTGGAGATTCCTTCCTCCTGGTTACACCACCAAAAATTGCAGAGTTAAATTCTCCGAACAAACCAAATTAAGTGAACAGGAGCAAAATAAAACTACTAAACGCTCCCACAAATAACTATAAAAAAATTAGAAATCCTTGTTATCTTATATTTATTAGAAAACAAATGCTTATCGAAAAAAGACCAAGAACTTCTAGAATGAAGAATTCCAATTGGAAGCAGTTAAATTAGTACCGTGGAGAGCTCCACTGTCTAGGTACATAGAAAACAGTGATCCCTGAGAAATATAAACAAATTCACCGAGAATGGTACCACAATTATATCTGGCAATTGGAAAGAGGTGGTAGAGGAACAGATTTTAAAACTCGTAGGATGCTAAATATGTAATTTTTTTAATAAATATCACTAAACAAAAAAATCCAAAACGAATAAGAACCACTGACATTTTAATCGTACCCTCTACCTATAAAATTCATAAGAAAACCTATATTTATAGGTCATGTCGAAACCGAGCACATCGAAACAACCGTGCCCGGCGTCATCTTCAAATCAGCCGGGAGATAAGAGGAAATTCGTGCTAGATCCCGTGAAAGTAGCACCATGGAGAGCCCTACCGCCTGGTTACATAGAAAACAACGGTCCGTGCAAAAGTTTGGACAAACAGCAGGAAAGCGGGACGGTAATCATACCGACGAAGTACAAGATAAAAGATCCGCCGCCGATAGTACCGTGGAAAGACGTCGTGGAGGGCCAAAAAGAAAAGTATAGGCAGTGTAAAGGAAAAGATAAGGACATAACCAAAGATGGTAGATTACTGACGCCTACTAAATACAGGAAACGCTGTGTACCTGAAACAGAGCCGCCCCCTAAATGCAATTGCAGTGAGCAGACTACGTTAATAGCCCCTTGGCGATTCTTTCCACCTGGGTACACCACCAAAAATTGTAGAGTTATCTTTGCTGAAAAAAATAAACAGGAAGAAGCTAAAACTAAAACCAAAACTTCTAAACGCTCCCCTAAATAAATATAAAATAACTACGTTAGTTAAGGTATAAAATTATTATTATCATAAATCAATACATAATCTCAGAAATCCTACATTTATAGGAGAACAAAGACCATGTCGAAACCGGAATCATCGAAAAAAGACCAACAACCCGTAGACAGGAGAAAATTTCAACTGGAACCAGTGATAGTAGCACCGTGGAGAGCTCTACCTCCCGGCTACATAGAAAACAACGGTCCCTGTAAGAATTTAGAGAAACTCACCGAGAGCGGTACCACAATTATCCCGAGCAAGTACCAAGTCAAGGAACCGCCGCCGATAACGCCTTGGAAGGACGCCGTCGAAGATCAGAAGGAAAAGTTCAGGGAATGCCAAACTAGGGGTAAACCGGAGGTGGATGGTGTCGTTATGGTACCGACCAAATACAAAATTAAGGATCCACCTCCTATTACTCCGTGGAAAGAGGTGGTAGAAGATCAAAAAGAAAAATACAGGCAATGTCAAGGCAGGATAATAGATAGAAGTAAAGATGGAAGAGTAGTTACACCCACAAAATACAAGAAAAGTTGTTGAAGTCAACAAACTCCAGGAAATCTACAATAGTAAGTAAAGAATTTTCGAAGAATTATTAAAATGTTATTATTATAAAACAAACAATCGGTTTTGTAATATGTCTACAAGGTTAACTGTATACTATTTTAGTAAAATTATCTAAAGGAAACAACTGGTAATAAAAATAAACATTATTATAAATGCACGATTAAAAAAAGAGCACGTGCATGTATAAATAAATTAAGATAAATTTATAATGACTAAAAATGAACAAAATTTAAAAATATGCACACATTACAAAAGATATATTTATTTATCTCGTATGAATTATTCCTAAAATGTATGGAACAAATTGGTGACTTCTTATACAAAGTTTCATATTTCCAGAAAGGCAATTCTACCAACTATGTCGAAACCAGCTACTTCTGATAAACCCTGCAAAAGCCAAGCACCGGAGGAGAAGAAGTCATCCATACCGGAACCCATAATGGTAGCTCCATGGAGGTCGTTGCCAGACGATTACATGGAGAAGCACGGCCCGTGCGCGCACCTGGACAAAAAGAAGGAAAGCGGCCACATCATCATACCCACAAAATACAAGCCGAAACCCGACCCGCCACCGCCCCCACAGGAATGCGAATGCTACAAACAGGAGAAAACCAGAGTGGCCCCGTGGCGGTCGGTGCCGCCCGGCATGGACAAGCGATGCGGACCGAAATAAACTGTAGCCAATAAAAATTATTTCACGGACGTTCGAGCTTTCAGTTCGCCGCGAAATTTTTCTCTTAGGATCCAATCGATCATCCGGCACACACTGCATTCGCTTTTCTGATACATTAAACTCTAGACGTCGTACGTGTTTCCCAAGCAAAAAGGCTCTCCACTCGAACCGTTTTCCGCGGAAATACTCGAAGGTGCTACGTCGAAATAAACGACAATGCATCTGCATCTTCGAGCAGAAACGACGAGATGTTGCCGAGTGAGTGCTAAGGAAATTTCCAAGACTAAATCCATCGGTTAAAATAAAAAAAAATGTTATAGGTACTGAAATGTTGGAAGGTTTTTGGTAGTTAAAAAAAACTGCTTTTATTTTTTAATAACTAACTTTAAGCAACGTTGCACCACTATAATTTACAGCGAAAAAAGTTTCCAGGAGTTTGGTTTCTGTTGTGGTAAAAAGAATTTTAGTGCAGCATTTATTAAAAACTCCTCAAAGTCTCGGTAATTTCTGAACGCCTTGTATAAAAATTGTTAAACATAACAAATAGAGATGTCCCTCTTTGCTTAAAAAAAACCCTCAACGCTAATCCGGAGCGCGCGATATGTTCAACAAGGAAGTATCCGGATCGGGCGGACTGGGAAAAGTGCCAGGCTCGCTAAAAAGCCCTTTAAAAGCACTTCTGTGTCGAGTCGCCGGAGTAAAATGTTTGCGAAAAGCAGAAAAAACCCTAGTAGGTTCGGTGTTTCGGCTGAAAGGATATGTGACAGTCGAGTTCTTTGCGAATTATAAAGTTTAACGTTGTCTTTTCGCTGTCGCCGGCTTGATGGAGGAGGTCAATATACACAGAAAAGTCGACGATCGATCAACGTTTAGGAATGCTACGGTAAGTTTACGCTAATTTGACGTACGCAAAAACGTCCTAGAATCTTTTATTTAATTTCTAAGATTGCGTAGAATCGTGCAATTGACAGTAATAACTTTTGACGTACATTAAGTTATTAAATAACACTATTTTTATGTCAGACATTCACATAAAAAATTACTGCAATCAATTAATCATCGTAATATGCAGAATCACGAGTCACCCATCACACCTAGTGATTTGATTAAGAATGACTGTCGTAGCTACAGCTACGCTGGAAACCCCGTCCATTAGTCGGGTTGTGTATATGCATCAAGCTGTCCACTCGATTTTCGACCAATAAATCTCCGAATTTCGACGGCATTACGCTAGGATAAGTATAAATCAGGATATGATCAATCATAATTATTTCGGAAAGGCCCTAGCTGTTTCTCCAACGGGCGATTAACTCCGGTATATCGGACAAATGGCTCGGAATAAATCGGCGAATACCGCGCTAAATTTTCAGTAATTCGATGTAATTATGATTGCTGTATAGTGGCAAGAAAGAGGATTGCGAGAACTTCCTTACCTAATAAATTCGATGAAAATGTAGTAAAGAGACGTCGGATTAAAATGAATTTTTCATTTTATTTAAATCGGATACGCCAACAAAGGAAAGAACTCGCGGTGAAATAGATACGTACTCAATAAAACGTCAAATTCCGCATTGTCAATATCAGCGATTTATGACTGAAAGCGGATTGTAACCATAAAATATATTCGCGTGCTATACATATAGAATTTATCGTGAATAAATCAAAACGTTTATAGCGAGCATTTCCGCCGCCCGTTCGGAAAATTCCTAATTTAAAATGATTCCCTTAATCGAAAAAATTGATTACTCTAATTAAAAACTACTCCGTCATTAATGAATTTCAGTTACGTTTTTCAACTAACTAATAATTCAAGATTTTCGAAGTAGAAATAATACGCTTAATAATGATTATGTAAGTAAATATTCATAAATTTTAGTATTTTCTGTAGACATTTCAATTTTTCTTTGAAGTGCGAATGAATGAACATAAACCGCCATCTTATGATGTAAAAATTAAGGACTTTTATTTCTACACTTAACTCTTCTAGTTCACAAAAATGTGTCCTCTAATTAAAACTGGTCCGCCATTAATAAATCTCGAATTCACTTCACGTTATTGCACTACGAATAATTGAAAATTACCCAAGTAGGAATAATTCGGCCAATAACGATTGTGTGTTTATTAATTTCTAGTACCTACCGGAAAGGTAGGGAAATTCCGAAATTTGTATTGAATACCATCGAGAACAACGAGGCGGAGCTCGTAAACCAGGTGTAATCTCCTTACTTGCAGACTAACAGCAGCGTGAAATTAGTTTCGGCGACTCCATTAAGGAAGTCGCCGCATGTAAAGCCGCCAAACAAACAAAAGGTTGATGTAAGGTTCCCGATAGATGCACATTTATACTAGTTTCCTCTATAAAATATTACCTTTATAGGTTTTACTCGTTGAAAATAATATAACTTTATGTATTATTTGGAACAGTTAAGCGTTGTTTCAACAGCATATTAAACAGATTAAATACAAATTTAATTGCGAGCCCATCAAAATGAAATTAGTTTCCAATTCGATTCAGGCGAATTATAATTTTTACCGAAATTTACATAACGTTTTTCCACAAAAAACCGTTGCATCCGAAAGCGGATTTACCGGCGTAAACATAACTGAAGACATAAATATAAAATTCGCATAAAAAATCCCGTGAAAGTTAACGAGATTTCCGACTTTCGGGACCTTATCCGTCTCAATTCCGGAGTTGTACATCACGAACAACTGCCGACGAAAAATTGATAAAAAAAAGGAAAAATATTTTCCCATTTTCAATAGCGCCGCCGGCCCGCCATCGCAAAGGGGCCGCCGCGAAAGGGGCCCGAAAGAATTCCGAACGGAGCACAAAGTGTATTCCATTTACTATGCAACTTGGTGGAAAATGTCTAGCCTTCTAGAAAAATTATGATTATCCTGTATGCTTTATTTGTTGGAGAAAATTGTTCTCTATGATTTTTCGGGTATGAAAAATGTTTATATTAAGCTTTATAGTTTTCTAGTTATTTCAATTTTTCTTTAGAAAAAATGTTGTCTAAGCAATAGAATGGAATTACCTACCTTCATATGATGGGGTGAATCTTCTCTACAATAATTTTCCAAATAATGAGTGAATAAATAATTAAAAAATCACCGCCTTCTGTAAAAATAGCTCCTTTTATTCCTACTTTTAGTTCACAAAATTACGAATCTTTACTATTTATGAATATAATTCTATTTTATTAAATTTTCTTGGGAAAATATTCGATTTCATTATTCCGACACGAGTAAGTTACCGTTAACTAAAGCGCTTCCCGAATCAAGTATTTTCGGTACAAAATCCCGGTAAAATATTCGGCTGATAACGAGCCGACTCCGCGGCTGATAGGCGAAATATACTGCAAAAATCCCGGATCCGGCGGAGCACAGTCGAATTCGGAAGAAATATAACGGTTTATGTTGCCGCAATTTGTATTCAAAATTTGCCTTTTTGAAATACGTACGGCGTTCGCGATATTTTTTGTTTGGCACTTCTTCCATTAGCCGCGCCGGGATGGGAAAAATTGAAAAGGTTTCGGGCGGAATGCGTTTCAATCCCGTCCGCGATAAATTCGGAAGTTTTGGTAATTTTTGCCAGTCGTATTTTCAATGAAATTGTTGATTTGCACGTTTGGCTAGAAGAAACTTTACTAGGTACTTTCGATGTTAATTGAATGTGCAAATAATAAATGTCGAATTGCAATCGGGATTTCGCTCGAATTTCCGGTTCGGTTCCATTAAAACTGAATTTTATGCACGGAATAGATAAATACAAATGCCCGACCGTTAATGGTTTTATTTAATGCTTGAAAAGTTTGTACAAACGAACAAATTCGATGTTCACTAATTATTGTATTCATTATGCACATGAATTCGTACTTTGGAATATAATTTACCATGTTGGTAACAACATTTTTTGCATTCGAATTAGACGAAAAGCTTTTAAATTTATCTACCACAGAGATTATTATACAGAATATTTTAATGTTAATCAATTTCCTGTATACTAAATATTAACCAAATTAATTTAGGATTTGTAATAATACTTTTGGGACCTTGGGATGTTGTACCTAATGATCGGTTCTTCTTTCAACAAAAAATAAACTAGATAAGAAACGTCTAGTACACAATTCCTTTGTGTGTACTAAAAGACATCTATTTTTATCAAAAAAAAAATCATACGGTCGCGCACCAGATAGAATTTACGCTCTATTTTTACGATTTTTATGGCTGGCACTGCGAAAATCCTGCGGCTAATGGCTCGTTAACAGTGGAAATGATTTCTGGTATTTTTCGCATTTTTTCCATTCGACCCGGCCCGCAATTCTTGATAACATTGGTGTCTCGTTTTATTTTTATCCAACTATCTAAATTCATTTTTAAATTTACTTAAACAAAATAGGCTCTATATTTACCTACTCGTCTAGGCATGTAAAGGGAATAAACTCCTTTTAAAGACGTTCTCAAGCTCAACTTTACGATTTAGGCCTCAAATTTATAGTCCAATATGACAAGGTATTCTCATTAGCTAAATGTCTACATTAGTAAGGGCCTGACATGTAATAAAAGAATCCAGAGGAAATGTAAGTTCGTCCAATTTTAATTAAAATTTCTTTAATAAGCTTTTATGCAAAAAATAGCCAATCAGCGAGTTAATGTTGATTGATGATAATTTTTAATAAAATTAGTATTTCGTAAGATGACTCTAAATTAATGGATAAATCGGTAATTTAATTCATTTAAGACGCTAAAGGGAGCGCCTCTGGTAAATTCGAAAAGACGAGCCCGTCCTGATAAGGATGATTTATTTTTTTATGATTCCCTTTAACGTTTATTATTCGCCTGAGATGTTTGCGCGAAATTTATCGGCCAATCGAGCTCGAAAATTTGCGACGGTCCCGCGCGTAAAACGGCAAATAAAACGACCCAACAATCGCCCGATATCTCGACAGCCATCTAAAAATTCAAACAATCCGAAAGCTCTTCTATGACAGAAC